GGCAGGTACAAACAGAACATTATTTAAAGCCAGAGTTTTACCAGAAGTCAGCTTGAGTAAAACCTTGCCTTTGCCTAGCACTTCAGAGCTGCTAGAGTTCCCCATGTACACACGTTCACCAGTGTTTCCATCCTCGAACTCAGTGAAAAACTCCTTCCTTGCGCAGAAATGCTTCGAAGCGCCAGTGTCAACTACCCATTCTGAACTGTTCTCCACCAGATTAACTTCTGAGACCACCGCAGCAATGATCTCATCATCTTCTTCTACAACGTGCATCTGTGGCTTGTTGTCATTCTGGCGGTCTGAGCGGTGTTGGCATTGGTAAGCCTTGTGGCCAGGTAAACCGCAGACATAACACTTGAACGTCTTTCCTTCCGGTTTGGCCTTTCCTGACTTCTTGAAGTTGGTAGCCTTCTGTGGTTTCGTCTTTTTGTCTTGATTCCCACGTTTCATGATCTTCTTAAATTTGGACTCAACCAAGTTAGCTCTAAAAGATAAATTACTCATAGAATTAGTAAGCTTATCTTTTAAACGGTTGGCTTCTTCAATCTTCATATGGCCCACAAGTTCTTCAAGCGAAATGTCTCTCTTCTTATGCTTAAGAGAGTTACGGTAATCGGACCAGGACTTGGGCAGTTTCTCAATGAGTACATTGGCTTGCAGCACCTCACACATTTGCATCCCTTCAGCGATGATGTCAGCGACTAAGTTCTCATAGTCATGGACTTGATCCATTATTGGCTTGTCGTCTGTCATCTGGAATTTGAGCCATTCGCCGACAACGTACTTCTTGATCCCCGCATCATCCGCACCATACTTCTTGTCGAGAGTGTCCCATATTGCCTTGGCACTCTTTTCTCTAAGGAACATATCAAATAGTTTATTTGACATGTGGCTGAGCAGATGTCCTCGTACCGTCTTGTTATCCTTCTCGAATTTCTCGTAAGTAGCGAGAGCGGCGGCGGCAGTTGCTAAGGCATCATCATTGAGGACCGCATCAGCATCATTACCAACAGCTGGGGTTGGCGGCATGGTAGGTGGTGGCTTGAGCAACACGTAATCAAGATCAAGTTGCTCGAAGAATATAAGAATTCTTTGGGACCACCTTCTATAGTTCTTTCCATCAAGTGCATCGAGCTTGGAAAGATCGGGAATGAGTTTGCTCAAAGGTGTCGACATGATTGCAGTTTATGGGAATTCGTTTCTAAATTGTTGGATATATGAACTGCAAAACTACACCGTTAGCACTGACTGAAAATATAAACAGTAATTAAGAAGAACAGATTCGTAAACCGTGTCGTGGTAAGAACCACTGCCTTAGAAACGAATTCGCCTCGATGTGTGTAATCGCTGCAGTAGGCGGACCGTCCCCCGAGGTTAACACGGTCGCTCCGAATTCCGTACACCCGAAACCGGAGTGGACTGCTGGTGGTATTGCACTTCTGATCGGAAAGCTGTAAATCAGTCCAGGTACATCTTAACGTTTCTGATTTAATTTAGGAATAAACTGTTTTAATTCAGCTGTTATTATTTGAAATTCAAACAGTCCTCAGCAGCCTATAAATATCAGTTGATATCTTTCACATTTTCCATTTGTTTCTTTCAAAGAGAAATTCCTCAAGAATTTTCTCTAAAAAGATAGTATCCGCGCGGACGTGTCGAAGACACATATTACCACGACCACCACCACGACCACCACCACGAGCCGAGCCGAGCCGTGCCGTGCCGTGCCGTGCCGAGCCGAGCCGAGACGAGACGGACGGACGGCGGCGGCGGTGCGCGAGAGCCCCCCTTGTTCTCTATCACTCAACAAGGAAGTGGAATGTCAAGCCTTAAATACCATTCCCAATAGTGTTTCCAACACTATGTGGGATTGAGCATTACCAACATTAACACCTACGAATGATGCTCTTGGTAATATAGTAGAGGTGAAACTGGCTATGAATCTTAAGTTGGATAAGAAAGAACTTTATTGGGAACAATGCGTATGATCAAATTAACTGAAACACGGTGACAAAAATACAACTTTTTTCCACATAAGTGCATCCAAGAGAAAGTGGGAAAAAATCGTATTTTATCTCTAAAAATGACAATGGAGTTTTCTTTTATGATGAGCAGGATATAAACCAAGTAGCTCGTGACTACTTCGTGAATTTATTCTCTTCTCAGGGAGTGGGTGACTATAGTCGTACTCTAGAGAGTGTTAAATGTTGAATCAATGACGAAATGAATCAAACGCTCACTCGAAACTTTACTTCGATTGAAATTTGGGATGTAGTAAATCCATGATTCCTATCAAAGTTGCCAACGAAGACGGGTTGGGTGCCTTATTTTATCAAAGATTCTGGCATATTTTGGGAAGTTATGTTGCCACTTTCTGTATTTCAATGTTAAATGGTGAAACTCCTGTCACAAATCAACCAGACTCGAATATTCATGATTCCGAAAATCAACAACCCCACTAATATGTTCCATTTTAGGCCTATCAACCTATGCAATGTGCTATTCACAATTATTTCCAAGGTGTTGGTTAATCGATTTCAAATTGTCTCTCTTTGTATTAATGAGTCTTGAGTGTGTTCGTCCCAGGACGCCTCATCACCGATAATATTCTTGCAGCTTATGATATACTCCATTTGATGCGAAACAAGAATGGAAAAAATGTCACTTTACTCTAAAATTAAATATGTCGAAGGCTTATGATCGAGTGGAGTGGAACTTAGTTGAAAAGATGATGCTGAAGATGGGTTTTGCTAATGAATGTGTTACCCTTGTTCTTCAATGTGTTTCATCAACTTCTTACTCAGTGATTTTAAATGGCTTAGTTGGCAAGTGTTTCATCCCTTATAGAGGATTACGTCAGGGTGATCCATTAAGCCCATACTTATTCTTAATTTGTGGCGAATGATTATTCTCTCTCCTTAGACAAAAGTGAACTACCATTGGCATCTGAATCAACCGTAGTTCCTCGTGCATATCCCACATTTTCTTTGCCGATGATAGCCTCATCTTTGGTGAAGCTATGACTAGAGGTGCTGGTAATTTAAGGGAGTTGTTATCTATATATGAAGGTTGCTGGACAAGTCATCAATTTTGAGAAATATGGAATTTTTTCTGTAAGAATGTGTTAGATGAGAACCAAAATGATGTTCGGAGATTGCAAATTAATAGTCCCATCAGCCCTGAAAATATCTGAGTTTGCCTACTGTAATGGGAAGAAATAAAAAAGGGCTTTTATGGCTTTAGGTAACAAATTTATCGCGTGCATCTCTTCTTGGAGCTCTCGATCCTTGTCCCAAGGAGGGAAAAAAGTGTTCATTATGGGTGTTGTATCTCAATATCGATTGAGTTCCTCTACCAATCCAACAGTAAAGAGATCTACTTGCTATTTCTGCTTAAGATCAGAAGTCCTAGCCAATAGTGATTGAAATTGGCTTTTATGTTCCTTTACAGTTTCGATCTGTTTCAGGTTGGCAAGTTTCCCCAAGGGGTTATTTCTTATAGGTGGTCCAAACCTCACATGACAACACTTCTTAAAATGCCCCCAATCAAGGCATGCCTCCTCTTCTTCCATTTGATCAAACTATAGTTGCGCCTCTTCTAAGAGATGAAATGTCGCTAAGCCCACCTTGTCATCTTCATTAGTCCGTGATTGCCAAAGAATTTCTCGCACAGTTTCAGCCACCCTAAAGGATCTCCGGTACCATTGTAGGTGAGAAATTTCAACTTAGAGTATACCCATCTTGTTGCGAGTCTAAAGTCCCTTTTTTTACTTCCGCTACTTTCTTTTCCTTAGTATTTCTGCCTGAGTACCCTTTCGTAGCCCTCTTTTGGATCGAATGAGATAATGCAACCATCTGCTCCTTTAGTGCTTGCTGTCTTGTAGCCATTTGTTCCATGAAAGCACTCAACTCTTTTTTCGAATCCTGTCACCCATGACAGAAGGCTCTTACACCTTGTTGTTATGAGCCTTAGCGTAGGATTTAGTCACGGGTCTAGACGTCGAAGATTTTCTGCTCTGACCTATGGTTAATCAGAGAGGCAGATTCGTTCTTGACTAAACCCTCTCTACCAATAACTTTTTAACAGAGTAATTGCTTGTCCTCTTTATTCAATATTGGCAGCCGTTTAATAGGTATTTAGTGACAAAGGAAATAATCCTAATGGACATAAAATAATATAATGATCCCTAACATATAGGATCATAACTAGGAAACTAAAGTTATAAAGAAATAAAATCTAATGTAATAGAGGAAACAAATCAAAAGCTAATTTGTTGCCCTCTGTTTATTTATTTATTGACTTCTTTCTTTGATATTTCTTTCCAATAAAAGCATCCACATCACAATTCTATATGAATTACTATGCCATTGAATATTAGAGAGGTCATCACAAGCTGAATAATGATACATTCAAAAAATAATGCATCATATCTAAGATCAACAATAAAAAAAGCTTTAATTTCTCTTTCAAGAAAATCAGGTTGTAAAACAGCAACTGTGCAAAACTCAGGCCAAGAAATGATAAGAACAACTTTTAACATATATTATTCTAAATACTTGGGCAAGAGACACCACAACCTTGCAGTAGAAGAAAATATCCTATAACAAAAAGCTGCATGCATCCGGTCTCAAGTAGCAGATAAGGATACTTACAACAATCAGCTTAATTGCCAACATTAGTGACCAATTTGTTAATTTTGAAAACTAGCAATTTAACAAGGAGACAATGAAGTGATCATTTTATTACAAATCGAAAACATTAGTGACCAATTTGTTAATTTTGAAATTTAGTGTAAGAAACAAAAACTTAGATAAACATAGTGACTATTTGTGTAGTTTACCCATTTAAATATTAGATGTCATAATCGCATTATTATATCAAAAGTTACCGTGTACTCACATTGTTACTTAAACATGAACCATATATATATATATATATATATATGCATGTGTGCAAGAAAATGGACCAAACAAGTGATAGTTGCCTTACTTTAAGGAGTGAAAAAACTGTTAAAAGTATTGAAATAACAGGTCGATGGAAAACCATTCGAGGATGACTTTGGTTATTTGATCAACAAATCTTTTCCACTACAGCATGCGACCACCCCAGTGGTGCAAAAAAAATGTGGAAGCATGTATAACTTCAAATGCTGCCGTCGAAAATAATCTCTCACTCGTCTTTTGCAACAAATGATTCGAGTTTCTGCAACCAATCTAAATACTGACATTCTTCTTTCTTATGTAGTGTGAGGAGGAGGAAATTGGTCAAGTCTTCTCCGATCCCTCTGGCGACAAGATATTCCTTAAGTTCATCTTGTAGTTGAGGGTCCAAAGTGCTGCAAACAAAAGTTGAAAAATTAACTAAATGATGATTACTGTCATAACACGCCCGTAAACGTTCTAGGAAATTCAACTTCCATTGTTAATTTAAGGGTAGAGTACACAAATTATCTCATGATTACATGAAAATGCTTTGTTGAGTACTCCAACAATTAAAAGTTATAAAATGATTCCTGATAACTAAAAGTTACAAAATTGTCTCCAATTATAGGATGTTGTTTTGTTGAGTCTCCCGACTATTAAAAGTTATAAAATGATCATTCAGCTATTCATATGGTACCAATTTCGTCATTTTCCATTAAAAATTTACTGATAGTCTGAGTTAAACGTTCACTTGCTGATTGATATATAATAAAATCATATTTTAATGACGTCTACGGACACCGCTGTTGCTTTTAAGCACTAGCTCGATAACATAATATTTCAAGCAATACTCGACGACATAATGTAAATGAAGAGTCGATCCCCAAAATACAACTCAAACGATTTTAAGATCAGTTTTTTTTCATATTTCAATCAACATGTTAACATCTAATTCAGACGACAGCAAAATTTTTAATGAAAAAAGGACAAATTTGGAACATATGAATAGCTGGGTAACCATTTTGCAACTTTTAATAGTTAGAGGACTCAATAAAACAATGTCTTATAATTGGATGACCATTTTGTAACTTTTAAACTCAACAAAACAACACCCTTTGGTTGGTGAACCATTTGTGTACTTTACGCTTAATTTAATTAACCAGAGAAACTAAACGCCATATTCCCTTATCCACTCACGTTTATAGCAATTAACCCGTGAAATCAAATACATTGAAAATTAACTATTTATCAGATGAAGGGATAGAACAAACATTATAGAACCATAAGTAGTATTCTTTACAACAAACATATATTATTTGATAAGTAGAATTCTGAGAGAAGTTTTCACCTGAACGAGGGACCTCTGTAGACAGAAGAAGTAGGAATGGTCATTGATTGAAGATAAGCACCATGGATGTTGAAGTCGGACCTGCGAACTCCTTTCTCGAAAACTCCACAATGGAACTGCAAAATAGAGCTCAACCCAGGCTTTTTTACACAGACCTTCATTAGAACTTTCCTAGGAAATATGCCCTCGGTATAATATGTCTCCCGGCTCAACAAAGCTGAAACGGCTACCTCTTCACCAGACTCACCTTTTCGCCGCAAAACAACATCCTGTGACTGTGATGAATTCCATTCCAATACAAAATCTCCAAGAGATCCGTTTTGTTCATCCTGGATGAGCATAGAATAAACCCATTTCCCTCAAATTAGTAATGCTAGAGCTCCAGGAAATAAGTGTTTAAGATGTTCCCACTTCAAGATGAACTATAAATTATCAAGAATAGTGTCCCCACCACAATGTGAAGATTTTGAACAATATAAACGCATTTCTTTTTGGTCTTTCACATCCATATAATGTATTGAATTAAAGACACTGCGAAATCCCATTGGGGATCCATTGCATACGTGGTATTAGATGTAAAAAAGGACATTGTTTCTCTAAGTATTAAAGCTGAAACTGAATGCTCCGGAACATAAAGGAGGCTGCACTAGAATTTACCGCTAAAAAAATGTTGAAGACGCAAATGAATTGGAAGAAAGCATATCAAAATAACAATTATTCTACATAAAAACAACATGAAATCTATGTTTCACGTTATTATTGTAGTTTAATTCTTCGTAATCATTTTCTTTAACAAAACCAATTTCGATCATAAGCTCTATGACCTAAAAATCAAAGAATAGAACTTTAGTTGGGTCTCTAGAAAACACCTGACGACAACCAAATTCATGATTAGGCACTGCATTCTTAAAGGTTCGTCAAGCAAACATGCCGAGATCGATACATAAATGAAAAAGGGAAAATAAGAACAAAATAACCTTAAAATCAACGAACAAAGCGTTTCTTGGGTCTCTAGTAAACACCTCAGAGTAATCAAATTCATGGGTAGGCAATGCATTCTGAATGACTTAGTGAAACAAAGAAACCCCAAATCGAAAGGGAAGGAGAAGAACCTGAAATGAATTAGAGGAGAGTTCTTGGGATATCTCAGATCGTAAGACCTTAAGCAAGTTGAGATCCTCCACAGCTTTGCGGCTTTGGCGTAAGATTTGAGTGGCTCTCGGCATTTCTCTAACTCTGTTTCTCTCGGGTCTTCCCCTTCCTAATTTGTGTTTGGCTGATGGCCGAAGACTATTCAAGTACCTTGCTTTCTTTTTCAATTAGATAGTTCGCAGCCGATATGATATGATATTTATCAGAAAATTATAGGGTAAAGTATAAAAGTAGTGCTACAATTATACGACAGTGTTTTGTTAAGTTGTTCATATATTAAAAGTTATGAAATAAATTTTTAATTATAAGATATTATTTTATTAAGTTTGTCGATTCTTAAAAGTTATAAAATGGTCATTTAATTATTTTATGTTCTAAACTCTTCTTGTTTGTTAAAAATTAACTACAGTTTGAGTTGTACATTAACATGTTGACTGTAATATGATAAAATTTGATCTCAAACTCTCAAATGACTATTATATCTCAGTTAAAATATTAACGTCTAGCTCAAACTGTCATATTTTTTAAAACAAAAAATGACAAGTTTAGAACAAACAGTACTCTATAGTCAGAGACCATTCATAACTTTTAATAGTCGGTGACTCAACAAAGCAACGTCTTATAATTAAGGATCATTTGTGTACTTTACCCAAAATTATATAATTTATTTTTTAAAATAAGATTTTTATTTTCACTAAATAAGAGTTAGATATAATAAAGGTAACATACTCCTAATATGAAGGGGAAAAACTAAAATCAAAACCTTTTTTTAATACATGTTTCATTAAAAAAATTAACAATTTCAATAATCTTTTTGTCTTTATTCAAACAAGACGCAATATTGATTAAGACATAAAGAGTAAGCAGAAGAACATACAAAAATAATATTTCAAAGAAGAAATTAAAATGAGAAGTATGGTTATTTAGATTTCAGTAAAAAAAATAAAGAATAAGAAAAAGAGATGCGGCAACTTAGGACGACACTTTAAAAGAAAATTTTGATAATAACTTTAGAGAAAAACTAGAATAATGAAAACATTGTTAATTATATATATATATATATATATTGAAATATAATACATATCATAAGTTATTTTTTTATATTAATTTGGGCTAAATACAAAGTATTATATGTTCAATCAAAGATAAATCACAATCATTTGACATTGAACGCTTATACCCCTACATTTTATGGTGCTCAAACCCGAGATCTTAAGGAATAACAATAATTTTTTTACCACTGTGGTCGCTTAGTTCGTGCTATTATAAGTTACTTTAAAAAAATAAAAAACTAATGTCGTCGTTTTTCTTTTCTTCTTTATTTTGTTTGATAGAGGACAATATTAGTTTTAATACTGGTAATTGATTGTCTATATTTTTTGATTCTTGTTTATTTTAATACATCATATATTTACTTTTTTATTTTTTTAATTTCTAATAATTCTCCCTTTATGACACAAATTTCTCTACCTTTATGGTACATTTTCATCTACCTTTGTTCAATCGTGTTTTATAATATTTTGATATAACAAATTAAGACAAAATGTTTTTGGACTTGATTGAATTTGTTCAAATTTTTCAAAAATAATTCAAAGTTCATTAAACTATAATTTGAGCACAAAACAGTTTTTCTAGGTACGTAGTACCGATACTATTTTTACAGTATCAATATTGCATGAACAATACCGATATTGTTCATATGGTATCGATACCATAGGTAAGAGAAGTATTGATACTCTCAAGGTAGTATCGATACTACCAGTTGTTTTCTAAATTGCTCAAATTCCAGAATGCAAAATAAGTATCGATACTCAAAGAGGTACCGATAACATGAAGCATAATATCGATACTGGTCAATCCCAACAGTCTTTAACTGCTAGTTTATTTAAATATTACAAAGGTAGTACCAATATCATTAAAGGAGTATCGATACTCCCTGAACTGGGCAGTTTTATTTTGCAAAAAATTAATCCTCAACGGCTAGAAACGACCACAAACTCATTCCAACATATAAAAATAAGTTAAGGACACTTGAAGAAGTTTGGACAACACCTATCCAAGAAATCAAACACAAGAGAAGAGTTTTCCATTCTTATTTTCCTTTCTCTTATAAATATTTGTGTTGTGAGCTCATCGCAAATCTTTTAATTGTTTTCTTGTGAACTTAAATCTTGTAAACACCCTTCTTATTGAGAGGTTTTCTTGTTTACGTTTCTTATCCTTTGTAAAGGAGATTAGTTCCAGCTTAGCCTTTGAAAAGCTAGAGAGTTGTAAATGTTATCTCTTGATCTTGGAAAAAGAAAGAATAAATTAGTGAATATGTTAGAAAATCCTAAGTGATGAGCTTAGGTTTTGGATGTAAACTTGGTTGAGAAGTCAAACCACTATAAATCATTGTGCAAAATTTCCTATCTTTTTATCCTTACTCCTTAAACTCAAAAAACCAATCCACCCACTATTTTCAAATAATTCGGTTGTTCAATTAAGCTTCATTACAATACCAACAATTGATATCAGAGCTTGACTCATTAGAAGGTTTAACAACCTTGAGATGATGCTTGAAGAAGTTCTACCAATTCTAGACGCAACCGAGAAGATGACTTCAATCTGTGGCTCCTACTTCATTGAAGACTTTCAACCGGTCAACAAGCCACCTTAATTCAATGGAGAAAATTATGCATATTGGAAGAATATGATGATTATCTTCATTCAAACCAACGATCTAGGAGCTTGAAACTCAATTATGAAGGGATACTCCAATCCAACCGATAAGATGAATGATTGGAGTGATGGAGAGAATAAGAAGTTCCAACTCAATGCAAAGGCTATACACATTCTATTTTGTGCATTAGGCCCTGATAAATATGGAAGAGTCTCCTCTTGTTCAAATTCCAAGGAGATATAGGACAAGCTCCAAGTCACTCATGAAGGAACTATGAAGTGAAGGTAACCAAAATTAGTCTTTTCAATCATAGCTATGAGAATTTCAAGATGAAACCAGATGAAGAAATCAAAGCTATGACAGATAGATTTTCTGTGATTGTCAACGGTCTCAAGGGATTTGGAAAAGTGATCCATAATGAGAAGCTTGTGAGGAAGATGATATACTCTCTTCCAAAGTCTTGGCAATCGAAGAAGACGGTGATTATCGATGCTAATAACCTAAAGTCACTCACTCTTGATGAGCTTAATGGTTCTCTTCTCACTCATGAGTTGATGGTAAAGAAAGAAAAAGAAGATGAAGAAAAGAAAAACAAAAAGAAGAATGAGGTATATATTGCCTTCAAATCCACCAATGAGAGTAATCAAGACTCAAGTGAAGATATGGATGATGATGATGAATAAAAGATGGCCAAGCTCTTCAAAGGATTGAAGAGATTTATGACTTCTAAGGAAGCGAAGCATGAATCAAGCAAAAAGAAGAGTCTCCCGTTGTGTTTCAATTGTCAAAGAATGAGGCATGTCAAGTATGATTGTCTCCTCCTAAAGAAGATGAGATCAAGTAAAAAGAAGACATTTGTGGCGGCTTTGAGTGATGAAGATAACTCAAATGATGAAAATAAAGTAGCCAACCTATGCCTTATGGCCATCGAAGAAGATTTAATGGTAACTTCTAGCTCTAGAGAATCAAATTCTTATTTTTTTTAATGAGGTACAAGTTGCATATGATGAATTATATTTGGAATTTGAGACCATGAATTCCAAATGTAAAAAATTAATTTCAAAATACAAAGTTGAAAATGATTTTCTTTTGAAAGCAAAATTAGATTTTGAAAAACAAAATGAAATTTTGAAAAATGATTTTGAGCTTTCAAAAACCAAAATTGAATATTTGGAAAAAGAAAATCTTGAATTGAAAGTTAAGCTTGAATGCTTAACAAAAGAAACATAAATCATTTCTAAAAACAATTCATCTATGTTAAAAATGGAAAAATTATCACATTGCCATTTTCATGGTCACATTGTACATACTTGTCCTATAAAGAAAAGAAAATCTTTTAAAATTAGACAAGTATGGGTTCCTTTGGGAAACAGAGACATTGGTACTAACCTTCTAGTACCCAAAGCAATTTGGGTACCAAAATCCAAATGAATGTTTCTTGTAGGTGTGTGGGAGTAATGATGACAAATATGGAGATATTCAAATACTCTAGCCACACTTAATATGGAATGGGTAACTTCTAAGTTTATTTTGATTATCTTGCATAATTGGTTGCTCATTTAGTTTAAGCATGCATGAGTTTTGATTTTAAATAATTTTATGTTTTCTATCTCATGTATGTTAAAAAGAATTGTGATGGACATTTTCTAAAGTCTTAATGATTTTTCATAAATGTTTGCTCATCATAATGAATTTTGGTCAAAATTGGTTTTAATGTTTTGTTTTTACAAATTTTAATTTTTGACCTAAATTTTAATGTTTATGCGTGTGATTTATTGCAAATGATATCTCTCTAACAATTGATATCAATTTTTCAAATGCATAACATTTTTGGGTAGCTTTATGCACATGCACTAAAATACAAAAATTGGTATTGCATAAAGTATATTAGACTTGGATATATTGAATTTCATGAGCTACTAACATGTTTGTTAATCTTTGTTGAAATTCAATGTCTTTTAAGTGTCAAGCTTTTAAAGTCAAATTTTTGTTTGGAATGCTTTTATTGAGGGGGAGCTGTTATTTTTTAAATGATTTTATGCTAAATTTTACCGCTTGCTCTCCATTGTTATTTTTGAACTTTAAATTTTAATTATTTTTGATATAACAAAAAGGGGAAGAAATATAAGTTTGAAAAATTCAATTTCAAGAATGAAAAAGGGGGAGCTTTAATATTTTCCAAATATTTCTCTTTTTTATGAAATATTTTATTAAGGAGGAATTTAGCCAAAAAGATTATTCGAATATTTTGTTATATAAAAAAGGAGGAGATTGTTGAATCATGTTTTATAATGTTTTGATATAACACATTAAGGCAAAATGTTTTTGGATTTGATTGAATTTGTTCAAAGTTTTCAAAAATAATTCAAATTCCATTAAACTAGAATTTGAGCACAAAACAATTTTTCTAGGTATGTAGTACTGATATT